GATCATGACTTTGATTTTAATCTACTATTTTTCCAGTTTTAGTTTCGGTGATGAATAATGTAGATGATGAATCCATCCTCTCATCTCGCCCATCCTGACACTATTACCATATCTTTTATATATACATATATTTGGACTGGGCGATAATATGATTGTGGTAAATTTCAGTTCGATCACGGTGATCAGCTGTGAGCATATTTACTCGATCAAACATAGCGGAAATGTGCGTCACAACAGCCAATTAGAGTCAAGGTTTTCCTGCTCACTTCTGTAAGTTGCAGGAGAAGTAAACAGGAGAAATAAACAGAATGACCGAACGTGGAGCTAAATGCGGAACTAAGGGCAGCAAAATAGATGTCAGTAGAAAAAAAGTTATTCTATGTCAGTTGTGTGGTGGTAGTTTGGGTATAATAATGTAATGTGGTGGTAGTTCTGTTTAATTATTTGAAGAAGTACTTCCCGAGTGATTATGAGGAAAGCATTAAAATGCGAGAGTGCAGTCTGCACAGCCTGCCACTGCTGATGCGGTTGACGGCACAAGTAGCATTAGCAGTTTAGCCACAACTAGCGGTGCAGCGGCTAGATCAAAGCAGAAATCAATCGTATCATCTGCGTTTGAATCATTTAATGTTTACATTTTAAGACATCTTCATTATCTCTGAGGAAGCGATTTGTTTTTTTTTTTTGTTTGTTTTTCTTTGGGGGGGGGTCTTATATACCTGCGAAAACACTCTGGACAGTAAACTAGTTCACTGTATTAATTAGTATTTATCTACATTTGTTGTACTGTTAAGTTAAAATGTTTTTTATATTTTTCTAAGTGTATCTTATTCAATTTACTTTATTTACTTTAAAATGTTAAAATAATCTTTAGTTTCCTAAGTTTTTAGTACAGATGCTTTAAAACTGGCAGTTAAAAAAAAAAAGTGATGATTGTGATGGATGATATGACAAAATATATCGTGATCATTGTTTTTGCCAAATCGCCCAGGCCTAACACTCACATATATATCTCAACCAAGCTAAAAGACACTGAATGACATATTTTTTATTGCAGAGAAACTGTTTTAACAAAATTTTCACATCTGATTTGGTCACAAATTGGCATGTAAAACTTATTGAATTAGTGAACTGAACTCAGTCCTATAATGTTTTAAGGCCAGCGTTTGACACCCAGTAACAGTACTGAACTTTGAAGAATTCCACAGCAACAACGCAAACTCGCTCAATCTCAGTATAGTATAAAACAGGTCTTGACATACGCTCATGGACCATTTAGCTCCAGAGATCCTGTCCAAACTCCCTCTGACCTGCTGCTGGATAAGGCTCCTTGTTGTTTTAAGGAACTGTATTTTTATTCACTTTCGGTTTCTACGGGCAACCGAATGACCAATCATCTGGTTGAATCTACAATTACACAGACTACACAAAGCTTTCTTTTCAGGGTTAATCACCAACATTAGATTTTGACCAACATGCTGAATTGACCATTTATCCAATTTGATCCACCCCAGCACAAAATACTTATTTGGCTTCACTGACCATCATGCATAACCAGAGAGAGTCAGGGATAGTTTGAGTCGAGTTTTAGTTTGTTCAGTATTGCTTATAATGTTTATCTGAGGATTTCCCGTCTGTGCAGTTTTGTGAAGAACTATTTGTCCCCTTAAAGATGTCTTCTGTTGTTTTGTTTTTTTTGTCACACTTCCATGTTTTGGATCATCAAAGAAATCTGAATTTCAGACAAGGATAACCTGAGTGAATACAAAATGCAATTTCAGATGATGGTTTCATTTATTATGGAAAAAAGCTTTCCAAGCTTATCTGGGCCTACATGAAAAAGTAACTGTCCCCTCAACCTTATAGCTGGTTGTGCTACCCTCACTTGAGCTTGCGGTCACATACTGATCAGATGGCTGGATCCTCTTATTCAAGATTTCCTCGTAGAGAGCAGAATTCATGGTTCAATCAATTATGGCCAATGGTCCAGGTCCTGTAAAACAGCCCCAGACCATCATAACACCACCATGTTTGACTGTGGGTATAATGCTGTTTTTCTAAAAATGCTGTGTCAGTTTTACTTGTGATGTTAAGATGCTAACATCTCACTTCCAACTGGATGCAAAACAAGCACAAACTGCACAGAGCTGCAGAACTTTATGGGAGAGTTTGCACTCGAATGTCTTATCGCCAGTGTACTTTCAATTGGACCTTAAGACACAGCAGCAAGCAGGGGCCATGAGTGTGCAATTCTTGGCTGTGATTATTAGCTGTGATTCATTCTTAGTGAATTTCCCTCTCTGAGACTTTTTCCCCAGAATCACAAGTGTCCACAACAATAAAAACTGTGAGAGTAGTATTTGACATGTAGGCAAAAAGTTCTTTGTAATTTGAATGGGCCAGCTCAGGAGACAGGGGCCTACACTGAGGACATTAGACAGATACACTGCAGCAGAAAATAAAGGGTATGGTTAATGTATTCATAAAGTCATAATAATAAAACAGATGTTCCTTTTATTAGATTTTTTTTCACTGGAAATATTGACTCTTAGTGGCACCAGTCCTGCTGTGGTGTTTCTATAAAAAGGTTGCAGTAAATGTTTTTCAAGACATTGTCCTCGGCCTTCTACCAATGTGGACAAAACTGGAAAGATATTTTACTGAAACTAACTTACTTATACTGTTTTAAATAAAAACTAGGACCCCGTTGGGGCACTGGCGGGCCCGAGCTGTGTCGCGTCCCCCCCCCAACGCGCTGCCTCCCCGTCCCATTTGTGTCCTCTGGCCATCGCCCTCTCTGGTTACGCCCATCACTGCAAAGACCCTTTTCCTTCATCGGCGTTTGCTGTTCTTCCTGCCAGTGCGTGTTGCTTTCACTTACACTTGCCACAGCCAGCCTCTTGAGTGCCTAGCCTATTGGATATCACTGTCACCTACTCAGGACAGTCATTACCTTTCTATTAATACTTTGTTTTTTAATTTCACATTAATTTCCATATTGTATAAACAACTGGAAAAAACTTGAGCCCCTGCCCCTGTATAATCATGTGCACGTCTCTGTTCTAGCTCTAAGGTGAATCTTCACTGCTCATGTTCTCCTCAGAAGCACTCACCTCACTCCCCTCAGGTTACTGTACACATGCACCAACTGCCTGCTTCAGGTTTGGATGGAGCTTCATGGTTGTCTTTTGGAGAAATGACCAGTCAAGTTGTGTTTGAAATTTGATTTTTTTCAGGGGCAAAAGGAGCCTCTGCATTCTTGTCAAATATGTAAATAGCATGTTTTTGCAGGTGCTAAAAACCAGACTCTGAGTGTGTGTGTGTGTGTGTGTGTGTGTGTGTGTGTGTGTGTGTGTGTGTGTGTGTGTCTGTGTGTGCGTTCAAGTCACATGACATATTTAACCGGATGTAGCTGCAAGACGGAGCCTCGTTCACTCCGTTTCAACTTATCTCAAAAGTGAGGACCTCAACCTATATACCAGTTTTTAAATTGTGTTGATAGGCCAAATAAAACCAGAGTTATGATAAATTATGTCCGCGATACTTTTTTTCTGCTTATTTTGATCACGTTCGGCGCTCGATCGCGCTGTATGAGACAGGAAAACAAAGCATGCACACATTAGCGACAGGTCTTACAGGCGGAAAAGGCTTGCCAAAGGAAAAAAAAAACACACCACAACATCTCTCCTATTGGTGGAAAACTTCACCACAACAACCAATCCAAAATTATATGGTGACTGATTGACAAGGGGCGGGCGCTTACGTTCTTCCTGCAATATGAGAAGGGAGGGAGGGACTCTCAGCAGGGATGCAGTCTGGGACACGTAGTTGCAAACCTAGCGACTTTGTTGTTAGATTCAATGACTTTTCAGACCCCCTAACGACTTTTTTTTAGTAAGAAAGTGACTTTTATCGACTTCTTCTGGAGTTTAGAGACTCTGACATGAAGCAGGCTTTCCTTACTGAGGAGTTAGCAACGCTGCTAAGGGTGCAGAGCCACACATGCGCTCCGAGCTCTGCATGGGAGACTGAAGCTGACAGAGCTGCAGCAGTTAGCAGGTTTCACCCTCAGAGACCACCAGGGGTTCATGTTGAGGCATTTTCAGTTTTTTTTTTTTTTTTTGCCATAGACACTGTCAGCACAATCTGCAGTTACACTAACAAAAATGCTGCAAAAAACAAAGAATTATGGAAAAATTACACATGGACTGACATAGAGGAGGATCTAAACAAGTTTTTTACATCATGTTTTACATCATGCATCATTTACATCATGTTTTTTTGTAGTGGCATAAATAAAAAGTGACATTTGTGAGACTATACAGTGTTTTGTAAATAATTTTACAAAGAACACCTGGGCCATTGCCTGCATTTTGATGTAAATAGAGGTAAATTACTATGTTCTTTGTTAAAAATTTGCATATGTTTTGAAGTTTACAATTTTTATTTGAAGTTTAAGTTTTAAAAACAGTTCATCACACATATTTGTGGTTTTCACAGTAAAAACGTTACTTTTTTCCACTCGGATTTTATGTTTTGTGTGTGAATTTGGGTCCAATGTGTAAATATAGTATGTCAAAATGATAAAATAACTGTAAATTGACACAGGTGAGGTTGTGCTGAAAAAAATGATACCAGGCAAGGCAAGGTAAAAATTTTGTAAGAGGAAATATAAAGGTAAAATCTAAAGTAGTCAAAAACGGCCAATAGTGACTCACAGACTCCACAGACAAGTCCCTTTGGCGCCACTCAGTGGGCAAAACTACTTTGTCTACTGTAATGTATATTTGGGTCATCTTTGGCGCCCCCTAAAACGTAAACCGTGGGGTGCAGCGTCATGATTTTTACAACTTTGAATGGCCATGGAGTGTAGATTGGCCTGAGCAAATTTGGTGTCAGTGGGACGAAAGCCTTAGGAGGACTTAGCGAAATTCCAATGTGTGCGAATCGGCAAAAAATGCAAAATAGCCCTTTTACCGTACATTATACAGATACGCGCTCTTTGACTTTTTCGTAGATCTAATTGAGATACACATGATTGTCAATTTTTGTGTCATTTTGCCAAAGCGTACAGGCGTGACAGTCAACAATGTGTATTTTCACCTTAGGGGACAAGAAAAAATGGACTTTTTTCTCCTGCCATGGGGGGGGCGCTCTTTTAGGGAGTAAAAATTCCTTCACAAATGTGTTGATGGCTGGACATTGCATCATCCTAGAAAACTTGGAGGCCAGTGAGGGCAAAAATAAAGTTATAAGACTTTTAAATATGTGGATTTTTGGGTTATCTTTGGCGCCCCCTAGAACCTAAACCGTGGGGTGCAGCGTCATGATTTGAATAACTTTTAATGGCCATGGGGTGTAGATTGGCCTGAGCAAATGTGGTGCCGGTGGAACGAAAGCCTTCTGAGGAGTTAGCGAAATTCCAATGTGTGCGAATCGGCAAAAAATGCGGAATAACCCTTTAACCGTACATTTGACAGATACGCGCGCATGGACTTTTTTGTAGATCTTATTGAGATACATGTGTGTGTCAATTTTTGTGTCATTTTGACAAAGCGTACAGGCGTGACAGTCAACAATGTGTATTTTCACCTTATGGGACAAGAAAAAATGGACTTTTTTCTCCTGCCATGGGGGGGCACTCTTTTGGGGAGTAAAAATTCCTTCACAAATGTGTTGATGGCTGGACATTGCATCATCCTAGAAAACTTGGAGGCCAGTGAGGGCAAAAATAAAAAGTTATAAGACTTTTAAATATGTGGATTTTAGGGTTATCTTTGGCGCCCCCTAGAACCTAAACCGTGGGGTGCAGCGTCATGATTTGAATAACTTTTAATGGCCATGGGGTGTAGATTGGCCTGAGCAAATGTGGTGCCGGTGGAACGAAAGCCTTCGGAGGAGTTAGCGAAATTCCAATGTGTGCGGATCGGCAAAAAATGAGAAATAACCCTTTAACCGTACATTTGACAGATACGCCCGCACTGACTTTTTTGTAGATCTTATTGAGATACATGTGTGTGTCAATTTTTGTGTCATTTTGACAAAGCGTACAGGCGTGACAGTCAATAGTGTGAATTTTCACCTTAGGGGGCGCTATGGAGCCATTTTGCATTTTCTTGTTTGGGCGACTTCGGAATATCAAATTTTTCACCAGGCCCGGTCGTCCTGCCAAATTTCATGAGTTTTCGCCAGTGGGAAGTGGGCCATTTTCCAGTTCAAAGGGGAGGAAAAAGAAAAACTAGGACCCCGTTGGGGCACTGGCGGGCCCGAGCCGTGTCGCGTCCCCCCCCAACGTGCTGCCTCCCCGTCCCATTTGTGTCCTCTGGCCATCGCCCTCTCTGGTAACGCCCATCACTGCAAAGACCCTTTTCCTTCATCGGCGTTTGCTGTTCTTCCTGCCAGTGCGTGTTGCTTTCACTTACACTTGCCACAGCCAGCCTCGTGAGTGCCTAGCCTATTGGATATCACTGTCACCTACACAGGACAGTCATTACCTTTCTATTAATACTTTGTGTTTTAATTTCACATTAATTTCCATATTGTATAAACGACTGGAAAAAACTTGAGCCCCTGCCCCTGTATAATCATGTGCATGTCTCTGTTCTAGCTCCAAGGTGAATCTTCACTGCTCATGTTCTCCTCAGAAGCACTCACCTCACTCCCCTCAGGTTACTGTACACATGCACCAACTGCCTGCTTCAGGTTTGGATGGAGCTTCATGGTTGTCTTTTGGAGAAATGACCAGTCAAGTTGTGTTTGAAATTTGATTTTTTTCAGGGGCAAAAGGAGCCTCTGCATTCTTGTCAAATATGTAAATAGCATGTTTTTGCAGGTGCTAAAAACCAGACTCTGAGTGTGTGTGTGTGTGTGTGTGTGTGTGTGTGTGTGTGTGCGTGTGTGTGTGTCTATGTGTGCGTTCAAGTCACATGACATATTTAACCTGATGTAGCTGCAAGACGGAGCCTTGTTGACTCTCCGTTTCAACTTATCTCAAAAGTGAGGACCTCAACCTATATACCAGTTTTTAAATTGTGTTGATAGGCCAAATAAAACCAGAGTTATGATAAATTATGTCCGCGATACTTTTTTTCTGCTTATTTTGATCACGTTCGGCGCTCGATCGCGCTGTATGAGACAGGAAAACATAGCATGCAGACATTAGCGACAGGTCTTACAGGCGGAAAAGGCTTGCCAAAAGAAAAAAAAAACACACCACAACATCTCTCCTATTGGTGGAAAACTTCACCACAACAACCAATCCAAAATTATATGGTGACTGATTGACAAGGGGCGGGCGCTTACGTTCTTCCTGCAACATGAGAAGGGAGGGAGGGACTCTCAGCAGGGATGCAGTCTGGGACACGTAGTTGCAAACCTAGCGACTTTGTTGTTAGATTCAATGACTTTTCAGACACCCTAAAGACTTTTTTTTAGAAAGAAAGGGACTTTTATCGACTTCTTCTGGAGTTTAGAGACTCTGACATGAAGCAGGCTTTCCTTACTGAGGAGTTAGCAACGCTGCTAAGGGTGCAGAGCCACACATGCGCTCAGAGCTCTGCATGGGAGACTGAAGCTGACAGAGCTGCAGCAGTTAGCAGGTTTCACCCTCAGAGACCACCAGGGGTTCATGTTGAGGCATTTTAATTTTTTTTTTTTTGTGCCATAGACACTGTCAGCAAAATCTGCAGTTACACTAACAAAAATGCTGCAAAAAACAAAGAATTATGGAAAAATTACACATGGACTGACATAGAGGAGGATCTACACAAGTTTTTTACATCATGTTTTACATCATGCATCATTTACATCATGTTTTTTTGTAGTGGCATAAATAAAAAGTGACATTTGTGAGACTATACAGTGTTTTGTAAATAATTTTACAAAGAACGCCTGGGCCATTGCCTGCATTTTGATGTAAATAGAGGTAAATTACTATGTTCTTTGTTAAAAATTTGCATATGTTTTGAAGTTTACAATTTTTATTTGAAGTTTAAGTTTTAAAAACAGTTCATCACACATATTTGTGGTTTAATTTCACATTAATTTCCATATTGTATAAATGACTGGAAAAAACTTGAGCCCCTGCCCCTGTATAATCATGTGCACGTCCCTGTTCTAGCTCCAAGGTGAATCTTCACTGCTCATGTTCTCCTCAGAAATAGTCACCTCACTCCCCTCAGGTTACTGTACACATGCACCAACTATCTGCTTCAGGTTTGAAATGGAGCTTCATGGTTGTCTTTTGGAGAAATGAACAGTCAAGTTGTGTTTGAAATTTGATTTTTTTCAGGGGCAAAAGGAAGCCTCTGCATTCTTGTCAAATATGTAAACAGCATGTTTTTGCAGGTGCTAAAAAACAGACTCTGAGTGTGTGTGTGTGTCTGTGTGTGTGTGTGTGTGTGTGTGTGTGTGTGTGTATGTTGGCGTGTGTGTATATGTGTGTGTATCCTGCAGTACTCTGTACTCCTGCAGTGGCCAAAAAGACTTTTAAGAATGTGGATTTTTGGGTCATCTTTGGCGCCCCCTAGAACTGCAGTACTCTGTACTCCTGCAGTGGCCAAAATGACTTTTAAGAATGTGGATTTTTGGGTCATCTTTGGCGCCCCCTAGAACGTAAACCGTGGGGTGCAGCGTCATGATTTTTACAACTTTGAATGGGCATGGGGTGTAGATTGCCCTGAGCAAATTTGGTATCGGTGGGACGAAAGCCTCAGGAGGAGATAGCCACATTCCAATGTGTGCGAATCGGCAAAAAATGCAAAATAGCCCTTTAACCGTACATTATACAGATACGCGCTCTTTGACTTTTTCGTAGATCTAATTGAGATACACATGATTGTCAATTTTTGTGTCAATATGACAAAGCGTTCAGGCGTGACACTCAACAATGTGTATTTTTATGGAAGGGGACAAGAAAAAATTGACTTTTTTCTCCTACCATGGGGGGGCGCTCTTTTGGGGAGTAAAAATTCCTTCACAAATGTGTTGATGGCTGGACATTGCATCATCCTAGAAAACTTGGAGGCCAGTGAGGACAAAAATAAAAAGTTATAAAACATTTAAGAATGTGGATTTTTGGGTTATTTTTGGCGCCCCCTAGAACCTAAACCATGGGGTGCAGCATCATGATTTGAATAACTTTTAATGGCCATGGGGTGTAGATTGGCCTGAGAAAATGTGGTGCCGGTGGAACGAAAGCCTTCGGAGGAGTTAGCGAAATTCCAATGTGTGCGTATCGGCAAAAAATGCGGAATAACCCTTTAACTGTACATTTGACAGATACGCGCGCATGGACTTTTTTGTAGATCTTATTGAGTTACATGTGTGTGTCAATTTTTGTGTCATTTTGACAAAGCGTATAGGCGTGACACTCAACAATGTGTATTTTCACCTTAGGGGACAAGAAAAAATGGACTTTTTTCTCCTGCCATGGGGGGGCGCTCTTTTGGGGAGTAAAAATTCCTTCACAAATGTGTTGATGGCTGGACATTGCATCATCCTAGAAAACTTGGAGGCCAGTGAGGACAAAAATAAAAAGTTATAAGACTTTTAAATATGTGGATTTTAGTGTTATCTTTGGCGCCCCCTAGAACCTAAACCTTGGGGTGCAGCGTCATGATTTTGATAACTTTTAATGGCCACGGGGTGTAGATTGGCCTGAGCAAATGTGGTGTCGGTGGAACGAAAGCCTTCGGAGGAGTTAGCGAAATTCCAATGTGTGCGGATCGGCAAAAAATGCGAAATAACCCTTTAACCGTAATTTTGACAGATACGGCCGCACTGACTTTTTTGTAGATCTTATTGAGATACATATGTGTGTCAATTTTTGTGTCAATATGACAAAGCGTACAGGCGTGACAGTCAATAGTGTGAATTTCCACCTTAGGGGGCGCTATGGAGCCATTTTGCATTTTATTGTTTGGGCGACTTCAGAATATCGAATTTTTCACCAGGCCCGGTCGTCCTGCCAAATTTCATGAGTTTTCGCCAGTGGGAAGTGGGCCATTTTCCAGTTCAAAGGGGAGGAAAAAGAAGAACTAGGGCCCCGTTGGGGCACTGGCGGGCCCGAGCCGTGTCACGCCGCCCCCAGCGCGACCGCCTCCCCCACCCGATCGCGTCACACTCAAGGTCCAAAGATGGTGTGCGCACTTGTTTGTGGTCATTTACCATTATAATGAACGGGAGGCGCAGTTTCTACCAAAACGCTCGCTGCAGAAAAACTCCATGTCCTATTTGAAAAAAGTCTGGACCATGAGTGAGGGCACAAACACAGCTAAGATATATCCAAATGGCAAGTTGCTCCTCCTTTCGCTTTTGCCGAGAGAGCAGTGCGTTTGAGCCATTGAATGATGAACAGGAAAAACTTGACTTTATTCTCCTGCCATGGGGGGGTGCTCTTTTAAAGAGAAAAAACTCCTTCACAAATGTGTTGATGGCTGGACATTGCATCATCCTAGAAAACATGGAGGCCAGTGAGGACAAAAATAAAAAGTTACAAGACTTTTAAATATGTGGATTTTAGGGTTATATTTGGCGCCCCCTAGAACCTAAAGCGTGGGGTGCAGCGTCATGATTTGAATAACTTTTAATGGCCATGGGGTGTAGATTGGCCTGAGCAAATGTGGTGCCGGTGGAACGAAAGCCTTCGGAGGAATTAGCGAAATTCCAATGTGTGCGAATCTGCAAAAAATGCGAAATAACCCTTTAACCATACATTTTACAGATACGTGGCCATTGACTTTTTCGAAGATCTTATTGAAATACACGTGTATGTAAAATTTTGTTTCAATACGACAAAACATACAGGCGTAGCACTCAACAATGTGTATTTTCACCTTAGTGGACAAGAAAAAATTGACTTTTTTCTCCTGCCATGGGGGGGCGCTCTTTTGCCGAGTAAAAATTCCTTCACAAATGTGTTGATGGCTGGACATTGCATCATCCTAGAAAACTTGGAGGCCAGTGGGGACAAAAATAAAAAGTTATAAGACTTTTAAATATGTGGATTTTACGGTTATCTTTGGCGCCCCCTAGAACCTAAACCGTGGGGTGCAGCGTCATGATTTGAATAACTTTTAATGGCCATGGGGTGTAGATTGGCCTGAGCAAATGTGGTGCCGGTGGAACGAAAGCCTTCGGAGGAGTTAGCGAAATTCCAATGTGTGCAGATCGGCAAAAAATGCGGAATAACCCTTTAACCGTACATTTGACAGATACGCGCGCATTGACTTTTTCGTAGATCTTATTGAGATACATGTGTGTGTCAATTTTTGTGTCATTTTGCCAAAGCGTACAGGTGTTACACTCAACAATGTGTATTTTCACCTTAGGGGACAAGAAAAAATGGACTTTTTTCTCCTGCCATGGGGGGGCGCTCTTTTGGGGAGTAAAAATTCCTTCACAAATGTGTTGATGGCTGGACATTGCATCATCCTAGAAAACTTGGAGGCCAGTGAGGGCAAAAATAAAAAGTTATAAGACTTTTAAATATGTGGATCTTAGGGTTATCTTTGGCGCCCCCTAGAACCTAAACCGTGGGGTGCAGCGTCATGATTTGAATAACTTTTAATGGCCATGGGGTGTAGATTGGCCTGAGCAAATGTGGTGCCGGTGGAACGAAAGCCTTCGGAGGAGTTAGCGAAATTCCAATGTGTGCGGATCGGCAAAAAATGCGAAATAACCCTTTAACCGTACATTTGACAGATACGCCCGCACTGACTTTTTTGTAGATCTTATTGAGATACATGTGTGTGTCAATTTTTGTGTCATTTTGACAAAGCGTACAGGCGTGACAGTCAATAGTGTGAATTTTCACCTTAGGGGGCGCTATGGAGCCATTTTGCATTTTCTTGTTTGGGCGACTTCGGAATATCAAATTTTTCACCAGGCCCGGTCGTCCTGCCAAATTTCATGAGTTTTCGCCAGTGGGAAGTGGGCCATTTTCCAGTTCAAAGGGGAGGAAAAATAATAATAACTAGGACCCCGTTGGGGCACTGGCGGGCCCGAGCTGTGTCGCGTCCCCCCCCCCAACGCGCTGCCTCCCCGTCCCATTTGTGTCCTCTGGCCATCGCCCTCTCTGGTAACGCCCATCACTGCAAAGACCCTTTTCCTTCATCGGCGTTTGCTGTTCTTCCTGCCAGTGCGTGTTGCTTTCACTTACACTTGCCACAGCCAGCCTCGTGAGTGCCTAGCCTATTGGATATCACTGTCACCTACACAGGACAGTCATTACCTTTCTATTAATACTTTGTTTTTTAATTTCACATTAATTTCCATATTGTATAAACAACTGGAAAAAACTTGAGCCCCTGCCCCTGTATAATCATGTGCACGTCTCTGTTCTAGCTCTAAGGTGAATCTTCACTGCTCATGTTCTCCTCAGAAGCAGTCACCTCACTCCCCTCAGGTTACTGTACACATGCACCAACTGCCTGCTTCAGGTTTGGATGGAGCTTCATGGTTGTCTTTTGGAGTAATGACCAGTCAAGTTGTGTTTGAAATTTGATTTTTTTCAGGGGCAAAAGGAGCCTCTGCATTCTTGTCAAATATGTAAATAGCATGTTTTTGCAGGTGCTAAAAACCAGACTCTGAGTGTGTGTGTGTGCGTGTGTGTGTGTGTCTGTGTGTGTGTGTGTGTGTGTGTGTGCGTTCAAGTCACATGACATATTTAACCGGATGTAGCTGCAAGACGGAGCCTCGTTGACTCTCCGTTTCAACTTATCTCAAAAGTGAGGACCTCAACCTATATACCAGTTTTTAAATTGTGTTGATAGGCCAAATAAAACCAGAGTTATGATAAATTATGTCCGCGATACTTGTTTTCTGCTTATTTTGATCACGTTCGGCGCTCGATCGCGCTGTATGAGACAGGAAAACATAGCATGCAGACATTCGCGACAGGTCTTACAGGCGGAAAAGGCTTGCCAAAGGAAAAAAAAAACACACCACAACATCTCTCCTATTGGTGGAAAACTTCACCACAACAACCAATCCAAAATTATATGGTGACTGATTGACAAGGGGCGGGCGCTTACGTTCTTCCTGCAATATGAGAAGGGAGGGAGGGACTCTCAGCAGGGATGCAGTCTGGGACACGTAGTTGCAAACCTAGCGACTTTGTTGTTAGATTCAATGACTTTTCAGACCCCCTAACGACTTTTTTTTAGAAAGAAAGTGACTTTTATCGACTTCTTCTGGAGTTTAGAGACTCTGACATGAAGCAGGCTTTCCTTACTGAGGAGTTAGCAACGCTGCTAAGGGTGCAGAGCCACACATGCGCTCAGAGCTCTGCATGGGAGACTGAAGCTGACAGAGCTGCAGCAGTTAGCAGGTTTCACCCTCAGAGACCACCAGGGGTTCATGTTGAGGCATTTTCAGTTTTTTTTTTTTGCCATAGACACTGTCAGCACAATCTGCAGTTACACTAACAAAAATGCTGCAAAAAACAAAGTCCATGTGTAATTTTTCCATAATTCTAACAGAGGAGGATCTACACAAGTTTTTTACATCATGTTTTACATCATGCATCATTTACATCATGTTTTTTTGTAGTGGCATAAATAAAAAGTGACATTTGTGAGACTATACAGTGTTTTGTAAATAATTTTACAAAGAACACCTGGGCCATTGCCTGCATTTTGATGTAAATAGAGGTAAATTACTATGTTCTTTGTTAAAAATTTGCATATGTTTTGAAGTTTACAATTTTTATTTGAAGTTTAAGTTTTAAAAACAGTTCATCACACATATTTGTGGTTTTCACAGTAAAAACGTTACTTTTTTCCACTCGGATTTTATGTTTTGTGTGTGAATTTGGGTCCAATGTGTAAATATAGTATGTCAAAATGATAAAATAACTGTAAATTGACACAGGTGAGGTTGTGCTGAAAAAAATGATACCAGGCAAGGCAAGGTAAAAATTTTGTAAGAGGAAATATAAAGGTAAAATCTAAAGTAGTCAAAAACGGCCAATAGTGACTCACAGACTCCACAGACAAGTCCCTTTGGCGCCACTCAGTGGGCAAAACTACTTTGTCTACTGTAATGTATATTTGGGTCATCTTTGGCGCCCCCTAAAACGTAAACCGTGGGGTGCAGCGTCATGATTTTTACAACTTTGAATGGCCATGGAGTGTAGATTGGCCTGAGCAAATTTGGTGTCATTGGGACGAAAGCCTTAGGAGGAGTTAGCGAAATTCCAATGTGTGCGAATCGGCAAAAAATGCAAAATAGCCCTTTTACCGTACATTATACAGATACGCGCTCTTTGACTTTTTCATAGATCTAATTGAGATACACATGATTGTCAATTTTTGTGTCATTTTGCCAAAGCGTACAGGCGTGACAGTCAACAATGTGTATTTTCACCTTAGGGGACAAGAAAAAATGGACTTTTTTCTCCTGCCATGGGGGGCGCTCTTTTAGGGAGTAAAAATTCCTTCACAAATGTGTTGATGGCTGGACATTGCATCATCCTAGAAAACTTGGAGGCCAGTGAGGACAAAAATAAAAAGTTATAAGACTTTTAAAAATGTGGATTTTTGGGTTATCTTTGGCGCCCCCTAGAACGTAAACCGTGGGGTGCAGCGTCATGATTTGAATAACTTTTAATGGCCATGGGGTGTAATTTGGCCTGAGCAAATGTGGTGCCGGTGGAACGAAAGCCTTCGGAGGAGTTAGCGAAATTCCAATGTGTGCGGATCGGCAAAAAATGCGGAATAACCCTTTAACCGTACATTTGACAGATACGCGCACATTGACTTTTTCGTAGATCTTATTGAGATACACGTGATAGTCAAATTTTGTGTCAATATGACAAAGCGTACAGGTGTCACACTCAACAATGTGAATTTTCACCTTACGGGACAAGAAAAAATTGACTTTTTTCTCCTGCCATGGGGGGGCGCTCTTTTGGGGAGTAAAAATTCCTTCACAAATGTGTTGATGGCTGGACATTGCATCATCCTAGAAAACTTGGAGGCCAGTGAGGGCAAAAATAAAAAGTTATAAGACTTTGAAATATGTGGATTTTAGGGTTATCTTTGGCGCCCCCTAGAACCTAAACCGTGGGGTGCAGCATAATGATTTGAATAACTTTTAATGGCCATGGGGTGTAGATTGGCCTGAGCAAATGTGGTGCCGGTGGAACAAAAGCCTTCGGAGGAGTTAGCGAAATTCCAATGTGTGCGGATCGGCAAAAAATGCGCAATAACCCTTTAACCGTACATTTGACAGATACGCCCGCACTGACTTTTTTGTAGATCTTATTGAGATACATGTGTGTGTCAATTTTTGTGTCATTTTGACAAAGCGTACAGGCGTCAGGTGAATTTTTCACCTTAGGGGGCGCTATGGAGCCATTTTGCATTGTATTGTTTGGGCGACTTCAGAATATCAAATTTTTCACCAGGCCCGGTCGTCCTGCCAAATTTCATGAGTTTTCGCCAGTGGGAAGTGGGCCATTTTCCAGTTCAAAGGGGAGGAAAAAGAAAAAAGAAACAAAGAAAAACCACTTGGGGAATAATAGGGCTCTCGCAGCTGCTTAGCAGCTACGCTCGGGCCCTAATAATAATAACAAAAGAAGGAAACTACAGGAACAAGAGGGCTCTCGCAGCTGCTTAGCAGCTACGCTCGGGCCCTAACTAGGACCCCGTTGGGGCACTGGCGGGCCCGAGCCGTGTCGCGTCCCCCCCCCCCCCCCCAACGTGCTGCCTTCCCGTCCCATTTGTGTCCTCTGGCCATCGCCCTCTCTGGTAACGCCCATCACTGCAAAGACCCTTTTCCTTCATCGGCGTTTGCTGTTCTTCCTGCCAGTGCGTGTTGCTTTCACTTACACTTGCCACAGCCAGCCTCGTGAGTGCCTAGCCTATTGGATATCACTGTCACCTACACAGGACAGTCATTACCTTTCTATTAATACTTTGTGTTTTAATTTCACATTAATTTCCATATTGTATAAACGACTGGAAAAAACTTGAGCCCCTGCCCCTGTATAATCATGTGCATGTCTCTGTTCTAGCTCCAAGGTGAATCTTCACTGCTCATGTTCTCCTCAGAAGCACTCACCTCACTCCCCTCAGGTTACTGTACACATGCACCAACTGCCTGCTTCAGGTTTGGATGGAGCTTCATGGTTGTCTTTTGGAGAAATGACCAGTCAAGTTGTGTTTGAAATTTGATTTTTTTCAGGGGCAAAAGGAGCCTCTGCATTCTTGTCAAATATGTAAATAGCATGTTTTTGCAGGTGCTAAAAACCAGACTCTGAGTGTGTGTGTGTGTGTGTGTGTGTGCGTGTGTGTGTGCGTGTGTGTGTGTCTGTGTGTGCGTTCAAGTCACATGACATATTTAACCTGATGTAGCTGCAAGACGGAGCCTCGTTGACTCTCCGTTTCAACTTATCTCAAAAGTGAGGACCTCAACCTATATACCAGTTTCTAAATTGTGTTGATAGGCCAAATAAAACCAGAGTTATGATAAATTATGTCCGCGATACTTTTTTTCTGCTTATTTTGATCACGTTCGGCGCTCCGATCGCGCTGTATGAGACAGGAAAACATAGCATGCAGACATTAGCGACAGGTCTTACAGGCGGAAAAGGCTTGCCAAAAGAAAAAAAAACACACCACAACATCTCTCCTATTGGTGGAAAACTTCACCACAACAACCAATCCAAAATTATATGGTGACTGATTGACAAGGGGCGGGCGCTTACGTTCTTCCTGCAACATGAGAAGGGAGGGAGGGACTCTCAGCAGGGATGCAGTCTGGGACACGTAGTTGCAAACCTAGCGACTTTGTTGTTAGATTCAATGACTTTTCAGACACCCTAACGACTTTTTTTTAGAAAGAAAGGGACTTTTATCGACTTCTTCTGGAGTCTAGAGACTCTGACATGAAGCAGGCTTTCCTTACTGAGGAGTTAGCAACGCTGCTAAGGGTGCAGAGCCACACATGCGCTCAGAGCTCTGCATGGGAGACTGAAGCTGACAGAGCTGCAGCAGTTAGCAGGTTTCACCCTCAGAGACCACCAGGGGTTCATGTTGAGGCATTTTAATTTTTTTTTTTTTGTGCCATAGACACTGTCAGCAAAATCTGCAGTTACACTAACAAAAATGCTGCAAAAAACAAAGAATTATGGAAAAATTACACATGGACTGACATAGAGGAGGATCTACACAAGTTTTTTACATCATGTTTTACATCATGCATCATTTACATCATGTTTTTTTGTAGTGGCATAAATAAAAAGTGACATTTGTGAGACTATACAGTGTTTTGTAAATAATTTTACAAAGAACGCCTGGGCCATTGCCTGCATTTTGATGTAAATAGAGGTAAATTACTATGTTCTTTGTTAAAAATTTGCATATGTTTTGAAGTTTACAATTTTTATTTGAAGTTTAAGTTTTAAAAACAGTTCATCACACATATTTGTGGTTTAATTTCACATTAATTTCCATATTGTATAAATGACTGGAAAAAACTTGAGCCCCTGCCCCTGTATAATCATGTGCACGTCCCTGTTCTAGCTCCAAGGTGAATCTTCACTGCTCATGTTCTCCTCAGAAATAGTCACCTCACTCCCCTCAGGTTACTGTACACATGCACCAACTATCTGCTTCAGGTTTGAAATGGAGCTTCATGGTTGTCTTTTGGAGAAATGAACAGTCAAGTTGTGTTTGAAATTTGATTTTTTTCAGGGGCAAAAGGAAGCCTCTGCATTCTTGTCAAATATGTAAACAGCATGTTTTTGCAGGTGCTAAAAAACAGACTCTGAGTGTGTGTGTGTGTCTGTGTGTGTGTGTGTGTGTGTGTGTGTGTGTGTGTGTGTATGTTGGCGTGTGTGTATATGTGTGTGTATCCTGCAGTACTCTGTACTCCTGCAGTGGCCAAAAAGACTTTTAAGAATGTGGATTTTTGGGTCATCTTTGGCGCCCCCTAGAACTGCAGTACTCTGTACTCCTGCAGTGGCCAAAATGACTTTTAAGAATGTGGATTTTTGGGTCATCTTTGGCGCCCCCTAGAACGTAAACCGTGGGGTGCAGCGTCATGATTTTTACAACTTTGAATGGGCATGGGGTGTAGATTGCCCTGAGCAAATTTGGTATCGGTGGGACGAAAGCCTTAGGAGGAGATAGCCACATTCCAATGTGTGCGAATCGGCAAAAAATGCAAAATAGCCCTTTAACCGTACATTATACAGATACGCGCTCTTTGACTTTTTCGTAGATCTAATTGAGATACACATGATTGTCAATTTTTGTGTCAATATGACAAAGCGTTCAGGCGTGACACTCAACAATGTGTATTTTTATGTAAGGGGACAAGAAAAAATTGCCTTTTTTCTCCTACCATGGGGGGCGCTCTTTTGGGGAGTAAAAATTCCTTCACAAATGTGTTGATGGCTGGACATTGCATCATCCTAGAAAACTTGGAGGCCAGTGAGGACAAAAATAAAAAGTTATAAAACATTTAAGAATGTGGATTTTTGGGTTATTTTTGGCGCCCCCTAGAACCTAAACCATGGGGTGCAGCATCATGATTTGAATAACTTTTAATGGCCATGGGGTGTAGATTGGCCTGAGCAAATGTGGTGCCGGTGGAACGAAAGCCTTCGGAGGAGTTAGCGAAATTCCAATGTGTGCGTATCGGCAAAAAATGCGGAATAACCCTTTAACTGTACATTTGACAGATACGCGCGCACTGACTTTTTTGTAGATCTTATTGAGTTACATGTGTGTGTCAATTTTTGTGTCATTTTGACAAAGCGTATAGGCGTGACACTCAACAATGTGTATTTTCACCTTAGGGGACAAGAAAAAATGGACTTTTTTCTCCTGCCATGGGGGGCGCTCTTTTGGGGAGTAAAAATTCCTTCACAAATGTGTTGATGGCTGGACATTGCATCATCCTAGAAAACTTGGAGGCCAGTGAGGACAAAAATAAAAAGTTATAAGACTTTTAAATATGTGGATTTTAGTGTTATCTTTGGCGCCCCCTAGAACCTAAACCTTGGGGTGCAGCGTCATGATTTGAATAACTTTTAATGGCCACGGGGTGTAGATTGGCCTGAGCAAATGTGGTGCCGGTGGAACGAAAGCCTTCGGAGGAGTTAGCGAAATTCCAATGTGTGCGGATCGGCAAAAAATGCGAAATAACCCTTTAACCGTAATTTTGACAGATACGGCCGCACTGACTTTTTTGTAGATCTTATTGAGATACATATGTGTGTCAATTTTTGTGTCAATATGACAAAGCGTACAGGCGTGACAGTCAATAGTGTGAATTTCCACCTTAGGGGGCGCTATGGAGCCATTTTGCATTTTATTGTTTGGGCGACTTCAGAATATCGAATTTTTCACCAGGCCCGGTCGTCCTGCCAAATTTCATGAGTTTTCGCCAGTGGGAAGTGGGCCATTTTCCAGTTCAAAGGGGAGGAAAAAGAAGAAAGAAAGAAAGAACTAGGGCCCCGTTGGGGCACTGGCGGGCCCGAGCTGTGTCACGCCGCCCCCAACACGACCGCCTCTCCCTCCCGATCGCGTCACACTCAAGGTTCAACGATGGTGTGCGCACTTGTCTGTGGTCATTTACCATTATAATGAATGGGAGGCGCAGTTTCTACCAAAACGCTTGCTGCAGACAAACTACATGTCCTATTTGAAAAAAGTCTGGACCATGAGTGAGGGCACAAACACAGCTAGGATATATCCAAACGGCAAGTTGCTCCTCCTTTCGTTTTTTTCCGAGAGAGCGATGTGTTTGAGCCATTGAGCGATGGGCAGGAAAAACTTGACTTTTTCTCCTGCCATGGGGGGGCACTCTTTTAGGGAGAAAAAATTCCTTCACAAATGTGTTGATGGCTAGACATTGCATCATCCTAGAAAACTTTGAAGCCAGTGAGGACAAAAATGAAAAGTTATAAGACTTTTAAGAATGTGGATTTTTGGGTTATCTTTGGCGACCCCTAGAACGTAAACCGTGGGGTGCAGCATCATGATTTGTACAACTTTTAATGGCCATGGGGTGTAGATTGGCCTGAGCAAATTTGGTGCCGGTGGAACGAAAGCTTTAGGAGGAGTTAGCCACATTCCAATGTGTGCGAATCAACCAAAAATGCGAAATAGCCCTTTAACCGTACATTTTGCAGACACGAGCGCATTGACTTTTTCGTAGATCTTATTGAGATACACGTGATTATCAAATTTTGTTTCAATATGACAAAGCGTACAGGCGTGACATTCAACAATGTGTATTTTCACCTTATAGGACAAGAAAAAATGGCCTTTTTTCTCCTGCCATGGGGGGGCGCTCTTTTGGGGAGTAAAAATTCCTTCACAAATGTGTTGATGGCTGGACATTGCATCATCCTAGAAAACTTGGAGGCCAGTGAGGACAGAAATAAAAAGTTATAAGACTTGTAAGAATGTGGATTTTTGGGTTATCTTTGGCGCCCCCTACAACGTAAACCGTGGGGTGCAGCGTAATGATTTGTACAACTTTTAATGGCCATGGGGTGTAGATTGGCCTGAGCAAATGTGGTGCCGGTGGAACGAAAGCCTTCGGAGGAGTTAGCGAAATTCCAATGTGTGCGGATCGGCAAAAAATGCGAAATAGCCCTTTAACCGTACATTTGACAGATACGCCCGCACTGACTTTTTTGTAGATCTTATTGAGATACACGTGTGTGTCAAATTTTGTGTCATTTTGACAAAGCGTACAGGCGTGACACTCAATCATGTGAATTTTTCACCTTAGGGGGCGCTATGGAGCCATTTTGCATTTGATTGTTTGGGTGACTTCAGAATATCGAATTTTTCACCAGGCCCGGTCGTCCTGCCAAATTTCATGAGTTTTCACCAGTGGGAAGTGGGCCATTTTCCAGTTCAAAGGGGCAGAAAAATAATAAGAAGAAGAAGAAGAACTAGGGCCCCGTTGGGGCACTGGCGGGCCCGAGCTGTGTCGCGCCGCCCCCAACGCGACCGCCTCTCCCTCCCGATCGCGTCACACTCAAGGTCCAAAGATGGTGTTCTCACTTGTCTGTGGTCATTTACCATTACAATGAATGGGAGGCGCAGTTTCTACCAAAACGCTCGCTGCAGACAAACTACATGTCCTATTTGAAAAAAGTCTGGACCATGAGTGAGGGCACAAACACAGCTAGGATATATCCAAATGGCAGGTTGCTCCTCCTTACGGTGTTGCCTGGAGAGCGATGCGATTGAGCCATTGAGCGATGGGCAGGAAAAACTTGACTTTTTCTCCGGCCATGGGGGGGGCGCTGTTTTGGGGAGTAAAAATTCCCTCACAAATGTGTTGATGGCTAGACATTGCATCATCCTAGAAAACTTGGAGGCCAGTGAGGACAAAAATAAAAAGTTCTAAGACTTTTAAGAATGTGGATTTTTGGGTCCTCTTTGGCGCCCCCTAGAACGTAAACCATGGGGTGCAGCGTCATGATTTTTACAACTTTTAATGGCCATGGGGTGTAGATTGGCCTGAGCAAATTTGTTGTCAGTGGGACGAAATCCTTAGGAGGAGTCAGCCACATTCCAATGTGTGCGAATCGGCAAAAAATGCAAAATAGCCCTTTAGCCGTACAGTTTACAGATACGCGTGCATTGACTTTTTCGTAGATCTTATTGAGATACACGTGTGTGTCAAATTTTTTGTCAATATGACAAAGCGTACAGGCGTGAATCTCAACAATGTGTATTTTCACCTTAGGGGACAAGAAAAAATTGACTTTTTTGTCCTGCCATGGGGGGGCGCTCTTTTGGGGAGTAAAAATTCCTTCACAAATGTGTTGATGGCTGGACATTGCATCATCCTAGAAAACTTGGAGGCCAGTGAGGACAAAAAAAAAAAGTTATAAAACTTTTAAGAATGTGGATTTTTGGGTTATTTTTGGCGCCCCCTAGAACCTAAACCGTGGGGTGCAGCGTCATGATTTGTACAACTTTGAATGGCCATGGAGTGTAGATTGGCCTGAGCAAATGTGGTGCCGGTGGAACGAAAGCCTTCGGAGGAGTTAGCAAAATTCCAATGTGTGCGGATCGGAAAAAATGCGCAATAACCCTTTAACCGTACATTTGACAGATACGCCCGCACTGACTTTTTTGTAGATCTTATTAAGATACATGTGTGTGTCAATTTTTGTGTCAATATGACAAAGCGTACAGGCGTGACAGTCAATAGTGTGAATTTTCACCTTAGGGGGCGCTATGGAGCCATTTTGCATTTTATTGTTTGGGCGACTTCAGAATATCGAATTTTTCACCAGGCCCGGTCGTCCTGCCAAATTTCCTGAGTTTTCGCCAGTGGGAAGTGGGCCATTTTCCAGTTTAAAGCGGAGGAAAAATAATAATAATAATAATAACAAAAGAAGAATCCATCAGGAACAAGAGGGCTCTCGCAGCTGCTTAGCAGCTACGCTCGGGCCCTAAAGAAGAATCCATCAGGAATAATAGGGCTCTCGCAGCTGCTTAGCAGCTACGCTCGGGCCCTAAAGAAAGAACTAGGGCCCCGTTGGGGCACTGGCGGGCCCGAGCCGTGTCACGCCGCCCCCAGCGCGACCGCCTCCCCCACCCGATCGCGTCACACTCAAGGTCCAAAGATGGTGTGCGCACTTGTTTGTGGTCATTTACCATTATAATGAACGGGAGGCGCAGTTTCTACCAAAACGCTCGCTGCAGAAAAACTCCATGTCCTATTTGAAAAAAGTCTGGACCATGAGTGAGGGCACAAACACAGCTAAGATATATCCAAATGGCAAGTTGCTCCTCCTTTCGCTTTTGCCGAGAGAGCAGTGCGTTTGAGCCATTGAATGATGAACAGGAAAAACTTGACTTTATTCTCCTGCCATGGGGGGGCGCTCTTTTAAAGAGAAAAAACTCCTTCACAAATGTGTTGATGGCTGGACATTGCATCATCCTAGAAAACATGGAGGCCAGTGAGGACAAAAATAAAAAGTTATAAGACTTTTAAATATGTGGATTTTAGGGTTATATTTGGCGCCCCCTAGAACCTAAACCGTGGGGTGCAGCGTCATGATTTGAATAACTTTTAATGGCCATGGGGTGTAGATTGGCCTGAGCAAATGTGGTGCCGGTGGAACGAAAGCCTTCGGAGGAATTAGCGAAATTCCAATGTGTGCGAATCTGCAAAAAATGCGAAATAACCCTTTAACCGTACATTTTACAGATACGTGGCCATTGACTTTTTCGAAGATCTTATTGAAATACACGTGTATGTAAAATTTTGTGTCAATACGACAAAACATACAGGCGTAGCACTCAACAATGTGTTTTTTCACCTTAGTGGACAAGAAAAAATTGACTTTTTTCTCCTGCCATGGGGGAGCGCTCTTTTGCCGAGTAAAAATTCCTTCACAAATGTGTTGATGGCTGGACATTGCATCATCCTAGAAAACTTGGAGGCCAGTGGGGACAAAAATAAAAAGTTATAAGACTTTTAAATATGTGGATTTTACGGTTATCTTTGGCTCCCCCTAGAACCTAAACCGTGGGGTGCAGCGTCATGATTTGAATAACTTTTAATGGCCATGGGGTGTAGATTGGCCTGAGCAAATGTGGTGCCGGTGGAACGAAAGCCTTCGGAGGAGTAAGCGAAATTCCAATGTGTGCGGATCGGCAAAAAATGCGGAATAACCCTTTAACCGTACATTTGACAGATACGCGCGCATTGACTTTTTCGTAGATCTTATTGAGATACATGTGTGTGTCAATTTTTGTGTCATTTTGCCAAAGCGTACAGGTGTTACACTCAACAATGTGTATTTTCACCTTAGGGGACAAGAAAAAAATGGACTTTTTTCTCCTGCCATAAGGGGGCGCTCTTTTGGGGAGTAAAAATTTCTTCACAAATGTGTTGATGGCTGGACATTGCATCATCCTAGAAAACTTGGAGGCCAGTGAGGGCAAAAATAAAAAGTTATAAGACTTTTAAATATGTGGATCTTAGGGTTATCTTTGGCGCCCCCTAGAACCTAAACCGTGGGGTGCAGCGTCATGATTTGAATAACTTTTAATGGCCATGGGGTGTAGATTGGCCTGAGCAAATGTGGTGCCGGTGGAACGAAAGCCTTCGGAGGAGTTAGCGAAATTCCAATGTGTGCGGATCGGCAAAAAATGCGAAATAACCCTTTAACCGTACATTTGACAGATACGCCCGCACTGACTTTTTTGTAGATCTTATTGAGATACATGTGTGTGTCAATTTTTGTGTCATTTTGACAAAGCGTACAGGCGTGACAGTGAATAGTGTGAATTTTCACCTTAGGGGGCGCTATGGAGTCATTTTGCATTTTCTTGTTTGGGCGACTTCGGAATATCAAATTTTTCACCAGGCCCGGTCGTCCTGCCAAATTTCATGAGTTTTCGCCAGTGGGAAGTGGGCCATTTTCCAGTTCAAAGGGGAGGAAAAATAATAACTAGGGCCCCGTTGGGGCACTGGCGGGCCCGAGCCGTGTCACGCCGCCCCCAGCGCGACCGCCTCCCCCACCCGATCGCGTCACACTCAAGGTCCAAAGATGGTGTGCGCACTTGTTTGTGGTCATTTACCATTAAAATGAACGGGAGGCGCAGTTTCTACCAAAACGCTCGCTGCAGAAAAACTCCATGTCCTATTTGAAAAAAGTCTGGACCATGAGTGAGGGCACAAACGCAGCTAAGATATATCCAAATGGCAAGTTGCTCCTCCTTTCGCTTTTGCCGAGAGAGCAGTGCGTTTGAGCCATTGAATGATGAACAGGAAAAACTTGACTTTATTCTCCTGCCATGGGGGGGCGCTCTTTTAAAGAGAAAAAACTCCTTCACAAATGTGTTGATGGCTGGACATTGCATCATCCTAGAAAACATGGAGGCCAGTGAGGACAAAAATAAAAAGTTATAAGACTTTTAAATATGTGGATTTTAGGGTTATCTTTGGCGCCCCCTAGAACCTAAACCGTGGGGTGCAGCGTCATGATTTGAATAACTTTTAATGGCCATGGGGTGTAGATTGGCCTGAGCAAATGTGGTGCCGGTGGAACGAAAGCCTTCGGAGGAATTAGCGAAATTCCAATGTGTGCGAATCTGCAAAAAATGCGAAATAACCCTTCAACCGTACATTTTACAGATACGTGGCCATTGACTTTTTCGAAGATCTTATTGAAATACACGTGTATGTAAAATTTTGTGTCAATACGACAAAACATACAGGCGTAGCACTCAACAATGTGTATTTTCACCTTAGTGGACAAGAAAAAATTGACTTTTTTCTCCTGCCATGGGGGGGCGCTCTTTTGCCGAGTAAAAATTCCTTCACAAATGTGTTGATGGCTGGACATTGCATCATCCTAGAAAACTTGGAGGCCAGTGGGGACAAAAATAAAAAGTTATAAGACTTTTAAATATGTGGATTTTACGGTTATCTTTGGCTCCCCCTAGAACCTAAACCGTGGGGTGCAGCGTCATGATTTGAATAACTTTTAATGGCCATGGGGTGTAGATTGGCCTGAGCAAATGTGGTGCCGGTGGAACGAAAGCCTTCGGAGGAGTTAGCGAAATTCCAATGTGTGCGGATCGGCAAAAAATGCGGAATAACCCTTTAACCGTACATTTGACAGATACGCGCGCATTGACTTTTTCGTAGATCTTATTGAGATACATGTGTGTGTCAATTTTTGTGTCATTTTGCCAAAGCGTACAGGTGTTACACTCAACAATGTGTATTTTCACCTTAGGGGACAAGAAAAAATGGACTTTTTTCTCCTGCCATGGGGGGGCGCTCTTTTGGGGAGTAAAAATTCCTTCACAAATGTGTTGATGGCTGGACATTGCATCATCCTAGAAAACTTGGAGGCCAGTGAGGGCAAAAATAAAAAGTTATAAGACTTTTAAATATGTGGATCTTAGGGTTATCTTTGGCGCCCCCTCGAACCTAAACCGTGGGGTGCAGCGTCATGATTTGAATAACTTTTAATGGCCATGGGGTGTAGATTGGCCTGAGCAAATGTGGTGCCGGTGGAACGAAAGCCTTCGGAGGAGTTAGCGAAATTCCAATGTGTGCGGATCGGCAAAAAATGCGAAATAACCCTTTAACCGTACATTTGACAGATACGCCCGCACTGACTTTTTTGTAGATCTTATTGAGATACATGTGTGTGTCAATTTTTGTGTCATTTTGACAAAGCGTACAGGCGTGACAGTCAATAGTGTGAATTTTCACCTTAGGGGGCGCTATGGAGCCATTTTGCATTTTCTTGTTTGGGCGACTTCGGAATATCAAATTTTTCACCAGGCCCGGTCGTCCTGCCAAATTTCATGAGTTTTCGCCAGTGGGAAGTGGGCCATTTTCCAGTTCAAAGGGGAGGAAAAATAATAATAATAATAATAACAAAAGAAGGAAACTACAGGAACAAGAGGGCTCTCGCAGCTGCTTAGCAGCTACGCTCGGGCCCTAATAAGAATAATAACAAAAGAAGGAAACTACAGGAACAAGAGGGCTCTCGCAGCTGCTTAGCAGCTACGCTCGGGCCCTAAAGAAAGAAACAAAGAAAAACCACTTGGGGAATAATAGGGCCTACGCCCGGCTGCTCTGCAGCTGGCTCGGGCCCTAAAGAAACAAAGAAAAACCACTTGGGGAATAATAGGGCTCTCGCAGCTGCTTAGCAGCTACGCTCGGGCCCTAATAAACAAGCACACAATAAGACATTTCAGACTGTGTTAAATGTTTGGAAAAAAAGGTTCATCAATAAGAGTTTTGTTTCAGTTTTCATTGGTCTATAAGGCACTGAAAACAAAAGTCAATCACCAGGCTGGTACTTGTCAACCACCGTCTATGTTTGGTATGTGAGGCGTCTCCTTTCACCATTCAGCTCAGGTGAAAGTGTAGCAGCTCAGAAAAAGGTTTGATGCAACGTGACCGTGGCCTCTCAAAACCTTTCTCCACTGATAAGTTAGTTAGCTAGCTAGGAGAGACGAGCCAGGCTAAAGCCAATTAAACAAGCCTAAAGAAACCAGGAGGTTTCACAGGACCAAAATGGGCTGGGACATTACGATAGTGACTTGAAGTAAAGTCGCAAAATTGTTAGCTCCCTTGCTTGATTTTAGCCAAATTATGAGAAAGTCACACTTGCAGAAATGAGGCAGTTTGCATTGAACACACACTAGTGGGATCGACATTTGAGAGATGCATTATTAGTTATTCATGGTTTCCTGAAGCTACAGCCCTGCCCCAAAATATATATTTATAGCTTGTTAAGCATAGACTTCACCTAAGAGCTGCTGGTGGATTGTGAATGTGTTTTATTTCAGCAACAGCCTAAGAACTCTACTCTCAAGTTAAAGAGGGTGTTTTTGAACCAGTGGGAGACACAGCTGAAGAAAGACTGAAATTTCAGGTGAGTTTTTGGCATGGTAAGGAACAGAGCGCGTGTTTCTCCACCTTTTCTTACAGTGTGAGAAACTGCTGACAGAAATTCAGCCGCTCTTCAAACACTCAGAGTATATAGCTGGGATATCTCCTGTGTCATGCTTGCTAACTGTCAACCCCTCAGGCCTAATACCTGATCACTTTGTCAGGCTTACAGCGGAGCAACAAGCAATGGGACATTTTAGGGATGCGATTGGATCACGTCCATAATGAATTCAGGGCCTTAGATCCGTCCCACCTCTTATTTCTCCACACAGTAATCTGGCTGGGGGAGG